GTAGTGTTATAAAGTTAAATATTATAAAGATATTATATTATTGATATTATTATTTGCAAGTTTATTAGTAATGGTCACACATGTGAAGGAAAATTTTTGCAGTATTAATAACTATTTTTTTTATCATTACTATTATTATTTTTTTTAGACTAAAAAAAAACCTTTTTTTTAGTCTAAAAATCATAAGCTGAAATCTTACATTTTTGAATTTGGGGCCAACTTTAAATACATTTATCTCATAACATAATTGGCTCCTGCTGGGTATTTTAGTGCTTTTGGAAAGGGTTATCCCATTGTAACTTTAATGGTTTAAAAAAATTGAGTGGGTTTTGCTTACAAAAATACTTAGGAGTCATCAACTGTCAAAAAATGTTTTAAGTAGCATTAAAAAATCAGCCATTATGAAAAATAGGAAAGATTGAATATATTTTCTATTACTCCATAATACTATTCTTTTAATTCAAATAAAAAACTTGGGAGATGATATCGCACTATTGAAATAAGGTTACATCAAATTGATGCTAAATCTGATTTTTTTTTTGTTAAATTTATGATTGTAGATATGTAAACACTTTTAACCTGATGTGTATTGAACATATATAATTATTTTTAGACATTACTTCTTTATTTACAGTTATTCAGTTTGGTTTATTGAGCATTTTGCTAATTACTTTTGACTTATTCAGAACAATACCTTGTTTAAATGCTGACAATGGGTCAAGTGCTCGGGTGCTGCCACCACTATTGTTTTTGTACAAAATTGTGTCAAACCAATATCAGCTAAGCGACTTAAACTATGTACAACAAGCATTCTGTTAAAAATTGTTACATTGTTAGTCCAAAATTATTACTACAAAAACAGAAAAAGTCACCTTTGCTTGAGCCACTGATATTAACGAATATACATTTCTACATGTATTTATATTTCCGAGAGTAAACTACAAAGATTTAATGATATGTGGAGCACTGACAGGAAGCTTAGGGTTGTGTAACAAAAGTGGTTGGATGACAAGCAATAACTTTTTAATTTCAATAAAGCACTTTGTATCTCATACTAAACCATCTGCGGATCATCCCCAGATGGTTTAGTATGTTAGATGGCATAGTTATTAATACACAAACATGAAGACCACATTTCATTTGAAATAATAATACTTGCATAAGAGAATTTTTTGACTTAAAATTTGACTTAAAATTTCTGCCACAGTGCAGCTGTTAGATGTTTCAGTATTTGGGCCTTTTAAATCTTATTTTAAAACGACTCAGAATGAATGGTTAGCTTCCAATCCAGGTAGGATTATAAACATTTATAATTTGCCTCAACTAGCTCGCTCAGTAGGGTGATTCATATTTTACCAATCAATTTGGTCCTATCTGGAATGGTTGACTACCAATGTAAAAATAATTTTAAGGCCAAATATTGTAGATGATTTTAGGGGTACCCGCCAGTCCAATTTGTGTATAAAAACGTATCAAATTTTAATAGTCTGGCTGGGACCAGACTATTGGAATCATGATAACATTTTGATTCTTGAATATTTTGGAATATTGAAACATGTGCAGCTTGTACATAGTGCTCAACAGTGTGCTCAGAGAAATGATTTGACCATAGAGTTTTAGTTTTCCTTAGAAACCAGTGAAACACCAGCATAGCCTCCAGATTGTTCTTTTGATTTCATCCAGGTCCAAGTAATGACATACCACAGTTAGCCAAGGATTTTTTCAACGATATTGTCATGAATTCAGTTTCCAAAAGTATTTCTTCCAGAGATTTGCTGCATGTTTAGTTGTTAGTTCAGGTGGAAATGTTGTTGACTTTTCACTGTCTCAATCAACTTTTTGGCAAGCGCAAAAAAACCATCCAGCAAATAGCTTCACAGCACAAAATGGGGATAAAAAGCTGCTAAGAAAGCACTTTTTCCCATAATAGCTCACTTTGATGGAAAAATTATGAAAGATATCATTGAAGAAAGAAAAAAGAGATCTAAATGAAATTGAAAGAACAATGACGTCAATGGAGAGACACACCTCGTACTTAGATGAAACCTTGTTTCCACTTTCTCTTGTAGACCCTGACCTACCTGATGTGAAGAGAAAACATTGCAAAAACATTACTCTTCACATCAATTCCTGATCAAATCTTTGACATTGCAATTGCAATTGGAGCGCAGAGACTTCCGCAATGGCGGATGCTTTTTAATAACGATTTTATAAATAAATAAAAAAAAAAGCAAAAAAAAAAATAACAAAGAAGAAAAAAAAAGAAGAAAATAAGAAAAATAAATAAAATAAAAATAAAGAGAATGAAGAAAAGAAAAAGAAAGAAATGAATAAGCAAGAAACAAAAAAAAAAATTAAAAACCAAATCAAACAAATTAACAAAAGAAAAAAAACATAAAAGAAACAAGAAAAGAAAAATAAAAGACAAAAAACCAAAGTTAAAAGAAAATAACATTCGAAAATGGAAAGTAATTATAAAGAATTAAAATAAAGTATAGAAATCGCTCCATTTTGGAAGATACGAAAAAAAAAATTTTTAATTTTATTTATTTTGAGGGACGTTTGTTTTGTTGCTGTTTTTTGTTTTTGTATTCTTGTGTATAGTATATTGGGCAATGTAGTGTATAGTTCATATTGTTTTATGTTTTAATGCGTTGTTTGCATCGTTTTTTTTTTTTTTTTTTAGTTTTACGTTGGTTGGACATTTTTTTTAAATGTATATTTTTAAAGTTGTATATAAAATGTATATATTTTAAAGCTATATATGTATATGTATCTATATATATAGATACTCACATACATATGTATACATACACATATATATGTGTATGTATACATATGTATGTGAGTGTATGTACGCGCGCGTGTGTATTTATGTGCAAATATGTGTGTATCTATGCATGTGGGTAAGTATGTGTTTATATCTTTATATTTATGTTTGTGTATGTATGTAACAATATTGAACTTTCTCATTTTTTTAATGCTTTTTTGTTTTTCTTCATTTTTTCTTTAATTTTTATCATATTTTTGTTATGTTTTTTGTTATAGTATTATTACTAGTAATTTTAAATATTTATCGTAACTACAATTATTATTACTTTTAACTTTACTATTATTATTCCTATTTTATTATTTTCAATTTAAATAACTGTTTTATGTCCTTGTTTTGGAGGCTTGGAGGCTGTGTTTTATGTTCTTGTTTATGTTTCTTGTTTCATTAAGGGAAATCTTTTCAAGTTTTCATTTTTAAATGGTTTCTCCTCTTTGTTTAATATACTGTAGCCGTTTTTCAAAATGCCTTAATAGGTTTATTATGTATTTCAAAAAAAACGTAATTAAAAAAAAATTATTTGGAGAAACTCTTTGTCAAACGCTTTTTGAAACTAATAATTTATATGAATTTTTTTAAAACTCTAAAAATATGTATTCAAAAACGTTTGTAGACATCTAAACTAGCTTATTTGGTAAAAAAAGCCAAATTGATTTTTTTTTATATAAGACGCTTTGAAAAACAGCTGCAGTAAAGAAGAGAGAAAACAAGAACTAAAGACAATTGTTTGCTGTTTTAATGAATGTATTATTAAATTTCATTGAAACGTTGATCTAGATTAATTGCGTACATTGCTTTTTTAATACAGTTTTAAAAGGTTTAAACAATTAGTTCTGAAGAAATATATTTGACTATATAACTATATAAATACTTAAGTATTTTAAAATACTTAAAAAACTTTTTCACAAATGTCAAATTTTCATCATTAGATAAATTTAGCAGTTTAAAAACTTGTTTAAATCAATAACTTTTAAATGAAAATTAAATGAAAGTTTTCAAAATCTTAATAACTTTTAATTGAAAAACTTGGTTGGCTCGCCGATTTTCGTCAAATATGTTTGTTAAAAGAACTTTTGTTGCAATATGCTACTTTAATTTAAATAAGTAACAAAGACATATAGGGGGAAAAGCAAGATTCTTTCACCGCACGAGGGCAGCAACTAAATTTGATTGACATATTTTAAATATCTAGTAAATTAGGTATTTAAATAAAAAAATGTATTTAAATACAAAATTATTATTATTATTTTTTCAATTTACATTACATTCATTAAATATCTACATAAAGTTTGTATTTGTAAATTAAAAAAAGAATTTTATATTTGTAAATATTGGTTAATAATTGATAATATTATAATATTATTTAATTATCTTCTTTTACGTTTTACATAAATATAACATAGATAATACGTTTCATTGTATTTTTTATTTTTGATTATTTTTGTTTTTATTTTCAATTTACTTTACCTGCTAATTTATTTTACTGAGAGTCAGGGGTGTGGAGTCGTAAAAAAAAAGTAACGACTACGACTCTAGTTATTGAAATTTTTTGAGCACAACTCCGACTCCAACTCCAAAAAAAATTTTTTGAAAAGTTCTTTGAATTCTTTAAAAAATATAACCCGATAAGTTAAAATTTCTTTTTTGACAAATTTGTGAAACATTCTTTGAGGTTTAATATGGACATAAGGTTAATTGAATGTTTTGTACATGCACGTGCAATACCGAAAAGTTTTACTATTGGAGTCGAAGTCACGATTTTGTTAAGCAACTCCGACTCCGCTGAAAATGTCGCAATTCTGACTCCGACTCCACAGCCCTGCTGAGAGTATTAATAAATCTTTTATTACAAAAACGTTATTAACTTATTTTAAAGTATAATATTTATTAATATGCAAATTTCTTTGTAACTTTACTAACTTAAGATAAACAGCAAAAAAATAAATAAAGAGTTTTTAAATAATAAAAATTATTTTTTTTTTTTTTTTAAATTTGCATTCACTCCCAACAAGGCTGCAAGCAACCACTATTAAGTTGGGAGTTACTAGGAAAAAAAAGAACAGAGTTATAGAGCAAGAAAACGGTTGACAGAAGACTTGAAAAGTTGAAGGTTGTATGAGTCAGGAAAACATGAAGATGGGAGAGAGTTCCAAAGGATTGAAGTGCGGGG